GGACTCCTGTCGCCCACTTGTCACCAGATGTCCAGGATCTCCAACACCTAGGGCTGTCCTTGTTGACCCGGGTGACAACTCATTCAGTATGGGTTTCTGTAAATTACATCTCACCATATGGTTTATGGGAGAGGCACTTTGTGTGGCTCCTCTGATGAGACCTGTCCAGTATGGTGGAGCCTCTGGCATAGCTCTCATCCTCCTTGGAGCACGCAAGCCCCACAATCATGTCAAGGTAGTGACTCACTGGGGAGTGGGGAGTTGTTGTTGTTGTTATTATTATTATTATTATTAGGATTTCCCTTTATTTTAGCCCCACAACAGCAATGCTGCCCAGAAGGCTGGGTTACAGAGAGAGAGAGACTGGCCTGAAGTCATACAGTAAATTTCCATGCGCCTGAAGTTGGACTTGAACCTGGGTGTCAGCAGTCCGATTTCAACACCTTAACCATTCCTTTATGCTGGCTTTGGGGTGTGGGGGATGTTTTGACTTAGTCCAGTGTTTCTCAACCTCATCATCTTGAAGATGTATGGACTTCACCTCCCAGAATTCCCCAGCCCATGCATTCAGTTCTGAGAGTTGAAGTCCAAACATCTTAAAGTCAAGGAGGTTGAGAAACACTGACTTAGTGGTGTGAGTCCAGCCACCATGTGGGTGGAACAACATGCTGAATAACCATAAATCATGGTTTGCAACCTCAAATAGCTAGGTTAAAACCAAGCCACTCTAAACATTAGCATGTTGGTAAACCGGGTCATCAAATTAAATCAAAATATGGTGGACTGAGTCTGCATGCTGTATGAATCAAGCCGTGATGGAAACTGCAGTCCCACAGATTTAGAAGCAGAGGGAAGTCTTCCAATGAAGAGCCCTCAGCTTTTGCCACCCGCCAAAGAGCTGAAACTCAGGAGTGCAGTGGCACCTTTTCAGAATAACACGTTTTATTAAAAGGCTTAAGCTTCTGTGTACTTCTGCCTTTTAACAAAATGTGTTAAAAAAGATGTTCCCCATCTCCTGATTTTTGGCTACTGTAGACGAACGAGGCTCTCCTCCGACAATGTCTCCAAAGAGTTAAGTGAACAGAGAGTTGGGTTGCCAGAGACGGCCGGAAATGTATTAAGAATTTAAATAAAAAGTAGAGAGGGGGGGAAAAGCAATGGAAAACAAACCCCTTTCTGCCCCACCTTCCTCTGGAGGGAATCTCTCTTTTGAATTTGCCCTCCCTCCTCCCCGCTTTGGACATTGCCAGGCTGCCGATCTGTGAAAAGTGCTTTAAATCTGCATTTCTCTGCTTGGGAATTCGAAGAGGAGAGGGGATTCGATTCTACCACTTCAGAACATTATCCTGGACCTTTCTTAGATGACTCCTTTTCCTTTCTCTTTAGACTTACTTCATCTCGGTTTCCATTCTCAGACAGATCATAGGTAAGCCATGTTTGGGCAGCATCGGGGGCAAAATCCCTGGATGCCTTCCCGGCTAACTTAGAAGAAACTTTCACTGAACTCTTTGGGTGGTTGTTGCAGGTAAGGGTTGCCCCCTCACTCCCCCCCCAATAAATCCTTGGTTGCCTGCAGCCGGTATGTCTCACTTTTGCCCAACCAGGCATGTTCATGCCCCTGAGGGGTTTGACTGCAGCTCCCATCATTAGCTGGCATGGTTGTGGTGGTTGGGGATAATGGGAGTTGTGGTTGAACATGGGCTCCTGATTGGGTAAAGCTGATGCCCCACATGTGGCTTGTGGACCCTCTGCAGGGCCCAGAGCTCTGGAGGATGGAGCGGATGGAAAAGGGTCTCTAGGAAATTCGATAGGATTTGCTTGCAAAGGAGTGGGGATGTGTGTTCTAATTCACTTATTCTTTTACCTGGAAATTCACAATTAATAACACGAAATAATCTTTTTCTTGGTTGTACACACCTTCCTGTTAAGCTTGGACTCGTGGTGCTATTGTTGTTTTTCCTGTATGGGGGGGTGGGATTTTCAAATGTTGTAATGCTTTGTTTTCCGGCTGTAGCCTTTTGTGGATAATATGAGTAAGCACCCTTTCTAGATTAATATTAAAGACATCGTTGTTTTAATAGCTGTATTGAATAAAGAAGATGACCTCGACTGAGATAAGCAGGAACCATTACCATTAAGGAGATGAACATTTTTTAAGTGCAGAACAAGCTAGTATTTGGAATCCCCTCTCTGATTCACTGGAGTATAAGAAGGAGGAGGAAGTTTAGAGCAATCAGACTTGCAAGATCCTATTACTATAGCCCAGTGTTTCTCAGGCTTAGCAACTTTAAGATGAG